AGAAAGAGAATTGATGCCTTTGAGCTGTGGTGCTGGAGAAGAGTGTTGAATATAACATGGACTGCTAGGAGAGCAAACAGGTTTGTCCTGGAGAGGGTGAAGCCAGCATGCTCCTTGGAGGCAAGGATTCTGAAGCTTCATCTGACATACTTTGGGCATGTTGCAAGGAGGGACTGATCCTTGGAAAGGGACATCATGTTTGTGAGAGTGGAGGGATGGCGCAGGAGAGGAAGACCCTCGATGAGATGGATTGATTCTGTGACTGGAGTGGTGGGAATGAGTGTGTCTGAGACGGCGAGGTTGGCGCAGGATCGAACGGCATTTAGGGTTCTTGTACATAGGGTCGCTATGAGTCACAAGTGACTCAATGGCATATAACAGCAACAAACAACTCCCTTGCGATGCTGGCACTCTGGGTAGGCCCCAGTGCAGTCAACTGGCATTTTTTTTTAAGCCAAAGGAACTAAAGAACTAATTCAGCCTTGAGTTGCAATATTTAAGGATGCTATTTTGCTTATGAGAAACCTATACTTGAATGAAGAGGCAGTTGTCAGAGCAAAGAAACACAGCCTGGTTCAAAATAAAGAAAAGTGTATGCCAAGGACGCATGCTATCGCCATACCTTTCCTATCTATATGCAGAACAGATTATCTAGGAGACTGGGCTCTGTGAGGAGAAATGTGGCATTAGGATTGCAGGAAGATTCATCAGCAACCTGTTATGCAGATAACACAATCTTGCTTGCTGAAACCGAGGAGGGCCTGAGGCATTTGCTGCAGAAGGCCAAGGATTGCAGCCTTAAATATAGATTGAAGCTCAACATCAAGAAAACAAAGATTCTCACCACTGGTCTGAGTGACAGCATCATGATAGATGGTGAAGAGATTGAGATTGTAAGTAGCTTTAGTTTGCTTGGCTCTATAATCAACACTCTTGGTACCAGCAGTCAAGAAATCAAAAGACGAATTGCATTGGGAAAATTTGCTATCAGGGATTTCTCTAGAGAACTGAAGAACAATGAAGTCAGTCTAGAGACTAAGGTGCACCTGATCCAGGTCATGGTCTTTGCAATTACTTGCTATGCATCAGAAAGCTGGACAATGACTAAGGATGATAGAAGAACAATTGATGCCTTTGTGTTGTGGTGTTACAGAAGAGTATAAAATATAGAATGGACTATTAGAAGAATAAACATTCATCCTTGAGAGGGTGAAACCAGGACAGTCCTTGGAGACAAGGATTTTGAGGCTCTGTCTGTCATACTTTGGGCATGTTGCAGGGAGAGACCAATCCTTGGAGAGGGGAATAATGCTTGGAAGGGTGGAGGGACAGCATTAGAGAGGAAAACCCTGTATAAGAAGGATTGACTCAGTGACTGGGGTAATGGGGATAGGTGTGTCAGAGGCAGTGAGGTTGGCTCAAGATAAAGCAGGGTTCAGAGCTGTTGTACATCGATTAGCCATGAGTCTCAAGCAACTCAATGGCACATAACAATTAAAAAAAAAAAGGCCCGAGAATTGAATGATCCAGGAAGCATCACAAGAAGATGGAAGGAGTTCACCAAGGCATTGTACCAAAAAGAATTGACTGACACAGAAGAATTTCATGAAACAACATATGATCAAGAGGCAATGGTGATGAAGAAGGAAGTTCAAGTTGCTTTGAAGAAATTTGAAAAAAACAAGGGCCCAAGGAATCAATCAGGCATAGCATACCACTTGACATATTTCAACAAATAATGCCACCCTGGAAGTGTTCACCAAGCTATGCCAAGGAGTCTGGAGGACAACTACCTGACAAAAGGAATAGAAGAGGTATATATTTATTCCCAAACCCCAAAAAAGGTAATCCAACAGAGTGTAGAAATTTT